AGATTGGTTATTTCAGAGCTACTTTCCTTGGAAGGTGGGGACAGGGAGATAACATCAGAAAAATAACCGGTAACATCAGGTTATGTTACTATATTCATTTTTTCTTAAGGATTAAAAGAGAGGAATTCATTATCATGTCAATTGAAGATGGCCTGTTTGGAAAATTTAGCTGTTACCTCTGTCTTCTGGTTTCTGGGAAGGTCAAATCACAGCTTTGTTTGATTTTGTGATATGGAAGTTTAATGAGTTTTGACTGTTAATCTAGTTGTTGGGGCCTTGTGCAGAAGCCTAATCTAAAACAATGGCTCCCTGTAATTTTTAGTTAAGAGTTGCTAGGCTATTAAAGAACCAAGCCATTTCCCATACAGAAGAAATTAGTTCAATAACAGAAATATATTGAGAGTCAACCACATGCCAGCCATTCTTCTAGCCCATTGGGACACGTAAGAAAACAAAATAAAGATGAGTTGATTTCATGACATTTACGTCCCAGGGAATGTGGATTGAGGGAATGCAGGCTTCGCCTAGAGTGAAACTGTATGTTCTGATAATCTCCAGAGCCCAGAATGGAACCCAGAGTGACTCACGAGGCTGAGACAGGAGCACAGTAAATTGGAGTTACCATCCTTGGCAACTTAGGGAGAACTGTCTCAAAAAATAAAAGGTTGGGGATGTAGCTCAGTGTAGAGCACCCCTGGGTTCAATCCCTAGTGTCAGCCTTGGAGTAACAAGGCACTTACAAGCAGCCACTATTATGTTCAAAGATACTATGTTGGAATCCAGCTCCCATTTGGTAGGTCATGAGATGGCACCCTCCAAGACAAGAGATGGTACCCTTCGAGGTGGACTAAAAGCGAAGCCAGATTTAAAGTTAGGTAGTCAGTGTAGTTAGGTAAATCGGGTCTAATATCATATCGAGTGAAATCTAAAATGGAGGCCATGCTGACAATGATTCCGGGGAAATGCAGGACAACTCATGGAATGTTAATGAAGTGTCATTGAAGTCCCGGAAAGGTCCTAGGCCAAAGTCCACTCCAAAGAAATGTTAATGGAACCCAGGAAACAGCCCCCAACAGATCTGGAGATAGCCCATCCCAAAAAGTGATAATGAAGTCCTTCCTGCCCAGATTACCTGTGTCCCACCCCTTCCAACCTACATTCCATCACCAAAACTATTAAAAGGGGAGACAACCACACTTCCATGGATTCCACCTCTTGGGTCCCCTTCTTCCTCTGGGAGAAGTCTTTTCTGCTGTCCTTTAATAAACTTCTAATCTCTACTCTGACCTTGCCTTGGCATGCTTCTTTGGTGTTATTCTTCAACATTGGGGAAGCAAGGACTCCTCACCAGTCAACAGCGGTAACAAAAGGCTAGAAAGTAAAAATCTGGCCCATATCCTTAGAAAATACTCATCCTTTGGATTTAGACTTTTTTTTTTATTGGTTATTCAAAACATTACAAAGATTGCAGAATCACATCGGTTACACATCCACATTTTTACATAATGCCATAATAGTAACTGTTGTATTCTGCTACCTAACAGTTTGTGATATGGGAAGACACTTGTGAATCCAGATGATACAATCAGCAGGATCTATACTGTGATCCTAGCTGGATGACTTTTTAAAAATTTTTTAAATTTTTTATTACTGCTTTTCATAATCTTACTTTTTAAATTGCACATTGTGCACTTATTGTAAGAAAAAATTAGGAAGACAAAGATAAACAAATCCTTTAAACCTATAATCCAGGGCTGGGGTTGTGGCTCAGTGGTAGAGCACTTGCCTAGCCTGTGTGAGGCACTGGGTTTGATCCTCAGCACCAAATAAAAATAAATACATAAAATAAAGGTGTTGTGTCCATCCGTAACTAAAAATAAATAAATTTTAAAAACCCCATAATAGAAAAAACCCGTATAATCCCATTCTCCCTAGATAATCCCTAATCTGAAAATCTGAAACTCCTTAAATAACAGTATGATGCCTGAAGTGGAAAATTCCACACCATGAAACTTTGTTTTTTCTAAAAATTAATAAAAATATGTATGAAATTACCTTAAGGTTATGTATATGAATGGTATATGAAACATGTGGGTTGCAGGTTTAGACTTTGTTCCCAGTGCGAAGATACGTCATTGTGAATAAGTATTTTGCAATCTAAAATTCAAAACATTCTGGCTCCAAGCATTCGAGTTAAGGAATATTTAATTCGTATCATTTTGGCATGTCTCAACTTGGTATTCAGAAAATATTTAAGTCAATATATGAATCAATACTTCAAAAATAATACTTTACCTTCCTAACTTGGACCTGAAGTTGGTTGACATCTGCCTTTTGAGGAGGGAAAGAGCCAACTTTCCTTCCTACTTGTAAGGGGAGGGAGAAGGGGAAAGTTCCCACATGACAAGTGGAATTTCTCTCCCAAGTGCTTTCCTGGGTTCCTTGGGAGATTTCCCGCTGAGCTTCTCTAGCTGTAATTCCCATGTTACCGCCAGGAAGTCTGTTCCACAGGTACCTCTCTGCTCTGGGTTATTCATTCAGGCCCTTCTTTTTGAAGCTTTCATCTGCTTCCTCTTCCGTGAAGCAGGGGCCAAAACACCTGCTCCACATCTGACAAACTCTGGGAGGACAGAATGCTCCTGATGCAGCCAGCAGCTCTGCATCATCTGGAACCAAGCAGGTCACCCCTCATCTCTCCTGCCCTGTGGGTTTTCAGCAGCAGCAGACAGACTCAGTCCTGTTCCCAAACTCAAGGGAACACAAATAAAGCCATGAAACCCCTCTAACTAGTGGGTTAATGAAGAGACAGTCACTCTTTTCCCCGTCCCCTGTGGGGAGGGAAAACAAATTTACTGCCTAGCTCTGCCCCTAAAAACCTCCTCATAAAATAATCTGCTTCTACTTTCATAATATTTTTCTGTCTTCCTTTCAGTTTCAGAGCTACATAATATGTTCTACATCATTTACTGTGAAATTTCCACTTGGTATTCTGACATCACATCTGTTATTTTACAGTGCCATCTTAGTTTTCTACAGCTGCTGCAACAAATTAGCACAGAACAGTTTAAGCAACACAATTTTATTATCTTCCCAGCACTGTGGGATAGAAATCTGGTTGGTTTCACTGGGCTAAAATCAAGGGGTCACAGGGTCGCTGCGTTCCGTTTTTATTGTTTTCGATACTAGGGATTGAACCCAGGGGTGTGCAATACCACTGAGCTACAACCCTTGTCCTTTTTATTTTTTATTTTGAGGCAAGGTCTCACTAAACTACTGAAGCTGGCCTCAAATTTGCAATTCTCCTGCCTCAAACTCCCTAGTCAGTGGGATTACAGGTATGTGCCACCATGCCCAGCTGCATCCCCCAACCCTAACCCTTTCACACACCCCCGCCCCCACTTTTTTTTTGGTTCTAAGGAAGAATCCACTTCTCTGCCTTTTCTAGCTTTTACAGGCCATGGATATTCCTTGGCTCAACATACCACCTATACAAATGGCATCATCTAAGGTTGTACAGGGCATGATATGAACAACTATATGTGGTAGCCTGGACCAGTTTTATAATATGGGGATTACATTTTACTGTTTCTGACTTGGTCTTCTGTCATTTGTGGCCATAACTTTTGGATATTTTGTTCTGGGAATCCACTCATGGCCATCAACTAAGTCTGTCCCCTTAACTTGGTAGGAAGATTAATTCCAAGAATCAGCAACTATAGCAACCAGTGCCTACCAGATTATTTTGACTACTCAGACCAAGTCTAGATTTAGTTATGTTCCAAGATGTAACAAACCTAGCTTCTAGAAAATCCTTCAAGCCATTTCCATCTCTTAGATAATAAATATACGTTTGAGGTATAACAGGATGATTACTTAAGTCTAAAATGCTAAAATAAGGGTCTAGTCGCCTTCTGGCTCTTCTAATACCAGGAAGCATTTATTTAATACCCAACAGAAAAACTATAATATATTCTGCTGGTCACATTCATGTATGTTATCAGGTCCCAAAAGACATAAAAGTAACAGGGGCATGAACTTGCTTTACTTTGTAGATATTCTGCATTAGTTGCAGCAACATTCTAAATTAGAAAACTTAGAAGACATGAAAATCCTTTCCCCTCATTTGCTTCCAAAAGACTTTACTACTGTAACTTTAAAGTAAGAAATGAATAATATATATTATATATTTATATGTATATATATATACACTAAATTTATGATTATTGATTATAATTTAAAGTTTAGATATACTTAATTTATGTATGCTTAACAGGCTGTAATAATTTTCTACCATAAAATACTTTTCAGTGCAAAGATAATAGTAGAATCCATTGTCAATTTTAGTTTTGTACCTGCAATTCCATTCCATCTACTCCACTATAAAATGTCAGGCATGCATGCCTATTTAAATTATTTTAAAGTAAAGGACTCACAAATTTATTGACTAAATAAAAAGTACAATAGTAATTAATCTTTGTAAAAATTGGTTATTGTTGGGGAGAGAAAAATAAGACATCCTCTTATATTTAAAGAATAGCATTTGGGACACTTGAAGCTCATGAAGCAACAAACTTGCTTTATAGTCCATTATTTGTTCAATTTTGGTTAATATTCCATGTGTACTTGAAAAGTTTTCCTACTCCAAAATCTCAGTGAAATTTTGAAATTGTTAACACTGCATCTATATTTCAGAAGGCAATGTAGAATATTTTTGAGAATTGCATAAAGCAAATATTCTATGTATTTTTCAGTATTTATAAACAATATAAAATGATAAATTTGTACAATCTCTACAGGGCAATTTGATCTAGTAATTCTGTTTCTAGGAATTTATGATACAGATATACACACATAGGTGTGAAATGATATTGCAACATTGCGTATAGTAGCAAATAATTAGATTTAATGTGTAGGTATATCATTGGGGAGCTGGTTAAATAAATTCCATACAACAGAATATTTATATAACCCTACAGAAAAATGAAGAAATTCTGTAATGATCTGGAGTAATAAGCAAAATGTTTTATTAGGGACTTCCAAATACAATGTTACAGATGACGAGGTGCACTGAGGCATCCATCTGCTAAGGAACAATTAGACCTTGGACAGGACCCATTTCTTTGAGACACTGTGGGACTCTGATAAAATAGGGAGTTTTCCAAAGGTGCTTCACCTCCAAACAAAACTAGCAAACAAACAAAGAATCCCAAACCAGAATCATTCTGAGTAAAATGCAGATAGTAGTACTGCTATCAGGATACTAAGGCTTTGGCCAACACAGAATTGGGAAGGATGAACTGAGCCAAGATACTGAAGTAATCCTTGAATGGTGGCATATTTACCTATTAACAGAAGCAGAAATAAATCTTCTCTGGAGGAGAATGTTCTGAGATTTATTTCAATCAATGAGTTTACAACTGAAGACCATGAAGTACATGAGAAGGCAAGGCAAGTCACTATTAGTGAGAATCTGCATAAACAACAGACAAAATACAGAGAATATATGAATAAAATGATTATAAAGTCAAGGAACACAAAAATCAATGTCAGGTAGATTGAAAATCTAGCCTAAGGAAGGAAAAACTATAATGCTCTTAGAAAAGAATGTAGAAGAATATTTTCATGGCCCCAGATGAGCAAAGAATTTTAAATGCAAAATAACAACAGAATGAAAGACTGATAAACTCAACTACACTAAAATTAAGAAGTTCTGTTTCTAAAAATACTCCATTATTATTAGGGATTACAAAGTAAAAAAAGTAAAAGATGGGAAAAGATATTTGCATTACTTATAATCAAGAATGCCTAATAAATATTAATATTCAAAAGTGATAGGACAAACAAGCAAATAGAATAACAGGTAAGATACTTTAACAGTCAATTTACAAAAAGGGATATCCAAATGATCATTAAGCAAAGAGAAGATCTACCTTTAGTAACAGATAAGAGCTAATTAAAGGGCTGGGGATGTGGCTCAAGTGGTAGTGCATGCGTGCAGCCCAGGTTCGATCCTCAGCACCACGTACAAAGAAAGATGTTGTGTTGTGTCCGCTGAAAACTAAAAAATAAATATTAAGATTCTCTCTCTCTCTCTCTTTTAAAAAAAGGAAGTGAATCTTTCATAAAAATTTAAAAAATAAAATTACATACTTTCCACTGAGCCAGAGAAAGAGAACAATCAAGGAAGACTTGCCAATGAAAGGTTAGTTCCTCATTGAAACAGTAAAAAAAAAAGAAAAAACCCAGGCAGACAGCCACAACAGTACCTGGGAGCTTTCTTTGCTTGCTTCTAATAAATCTGCTATAGAATTCTCACCCTCCAGAGTATGATTACTTCATTCTTCTGGTTTGTGAGACAAGAACCCTCCAGTGCTCACATGATTGTGTGTTACAAAATCACCTGAGCCCAGTATGTTTTTGAAGGGTAGCTCTTTTCTTTTAATTTTTAATTCAATTAGTTATACATGACAGTAGAATGCATTTATGCACTTTGATATATCATACATAGATGGAATATAATTTCTCATTTTTCTGAGTGTACATGTTGCAGAATCATATTGGTCATGCAGTTACATAGATACATACAGTGATAATGTCTGTTTCATTCTATTATCTTTCCTATCCCCACATCCCCTCTCCT